CAGGAAGCTGGGGGCAGAGCAATTCTGCCTCCAGCTTCCTGTAGTCAGCCCCTGGTCAGTTTCAGCAGCAGCGGCTGAATCTGGAGCCAGTTCCGACTTGCATACAAATTCAACTTAAGAACAAACCTATAGTTCCTATCTTGTACGTAACCCGGGGACTGCCTGTATATGCTAATGGAATCACTGCTTCTGCTTCCTATAGGTTGGACTCTTCACCGAAATTGGGCCCATGTCCTGTTTCATATCTCGACACGTAAGCACAGTGCTGGGGAGAGGCAGCTTTGGGAGCAGGTAGGGTGATATATGGAGAGCTCCTTTTTCACTGACTCTTGTTCTCTTCTCAGTCCATTCCCTCCGAGATGGAATTTGACCCAAACTCCAACCCTCCCTGCTACAAGACAGTGGATGAGGTGAGTCCTGGGTAGATGGTGTTTTGAGGGGAGCTTGTGGTGTAATGGGGGTGCGTGGAGAGGGAGAGAGACTCAGCTGGGGACAAGGGAGATGCTGGAACAGGCTCATGGGTGGTGGGGAGAATTTTACTTCCTCCATATCAGACACGCTTTATTTGCTGGAGTTATGTGCAACTCTGTGTTTAGCCTTTTTGGCCTCTGCCTGAGAAAAGGAGGAAGTTTGTAAATGGGTCTCACTCTAGTGCTGCATGTCTCTAGGACATCGTGATCCAGCAGGATGATGAGATCCGGCTGAAAATCGTGGGGACCAGAGTGGATAAGAATGACATTGTGAGTCTTTGGTGCCTCTTTCAAATATGGTGCATGCACGCGTGTAGATCCACAGCTCTCAGCATGGAACTGGGGGCAGGAACTCATGGCTAATCCAGCCCTAGCCTCTCCCAGCAAGGAAGAGGGAGCAGAGCAAGAGGGCTAGGTCATTCATTCCCAGCCTCTTCCAGCAGGGGGTGCTAAAATACTGGGGATGAGCAGCCCTGCTCAGGTAGAGGCAACTCACCGTCTCTGTTTCAACACTAATCTCTGTGTTTGGTTTGCAGTTTGCAATCGGTTCCCTTATGGATGATTATCTGGGTAAGTCTCCTCTCTAGGGTCGGGAGGGAGTAACTAGATGGGCTGAGCTGGCTGAGTTCACATTGGGTTTGGGTGGCGTGAGTCTCTGCTGTAGAGTGCTTGACATGTGTCCTGGGAACAGTGTGGGCATTTCCCCTCTGTGATGGGCTAATGGTGTGGAGCAGGGGATCAACAGCACCTCCTGTGGGTCCGGGCTCTGGCTGCTCTTGATCTCAACCTTCTCTCTTCTCACTCAGGTCTTGTGAGCTGAAATATAAAACCATCCCTCTTGCTGCATGTCGGGATTCCAACTGGGAAACAATTGAGCTGTACCCAGGCCAGCTTCTGTACCTACTGCTGTATTTATAGGGTACAGATCCACTCTCCTCCACCCAGCAGCTGGGAGTTGGGGGCAGAGGGTGGCTGACAGACCAGTACTTTCTTCTTCACCTCCAATAAAAGTTCATTTGTTTTAATAAAGCAGCATTTTGTCTTTCACCCCTCAAAGCAGGGCCGGCCAGCTGCCTTGGCTGGGGTTTGTGGCTTCCTTTCCTTAGCACAGAGGGGGCTGTCCTGCTCACCAGCACTCTGGCTGCGTGATGCCTCAGCCTTACATGTGGGTAATAAGGGAGGCACAATTGTGTGGCTGTTTAGTTTATGCCATGTGTTGTATAGCTGCCAGTCTGCCTTTCCCAGAGAGCCTTGCTGCTGTTACTGGCTGTAGTCTGGCAATGGTCTGGAGCTGTATTCACACAGGCAGTTTATCCCCCCGCCCCCCCAGCTGACACTCCTAAGGCTACATCTGCACCACACCCCAGATCCTCACTGGGAGGTCAAACCACTGGCAGTAGATTTAGGGGGTCTAATAAAGACCTGCCAAATGGACCACAGATCATTCTCTAGTTGTCATGTTGCTCTGCCCCCCTGCCCCCCCCCCACACTCCCATGAGAAGAGTAAGGGAAGTCCACAGGAGAGTTTCTCCCATCAACCCTGTGTGACATAGAGCCTTCAGTAACTTAAGGGATGTTGACTCCAACTATGTTATTGATGTAGCTGGAGTTGCTCTAGCTTGAGGTGACCTTCTGCTGCAGAGTAGATGTAGTCTAAAAGGCAAGATAGGGATAGCTACAGGCAAATGATAGACTAGCACTGGGGAGGGAGGCTGGGCTATTCTAATCCAGCAATGCAGGAATACTGGGTTGTGCACCCCTGCCTTTAGCTAGTCTGTGAGCAGTGTTCCCTGTAAGGTGAGTGCTTGGGCAGCTCCCCCAGGGGAGGTTCAAATGCTGCTTGGCTGTGTTTCCACTGGTGGTGTTCATCTGCACATGCCTTGGTGCATGTAAAAAAAGTTATTCCACACATGGATGGAGTTCTACATGCTGCTCGCATCAACCTATCCTAAAGAGCATGCTGGGTGCCCTTTGATGACGGACTTGGCTGCAGGAGTGGGGGGGTCTGCAGGAAAGAACAGAGAGAGAGAGTTTGGGGCAAGCTCTGCTCCAGGGAGCTACTGGCCAAGACCTGCACCTCTCCAGCTATGCCCTCTACAGCCTCTACCTCTCTCAGCCCCTGCCAGGTGGCACCCTGGGCCTCACTCCTGAAGAACTGGTGCAGGAGCTGACTCCAGGTTGTGGTGTCTGACCTGGAAGGGAGCAAGCTACCTTAGGAGGTGTGGGGAGGGCAGACACCAGGTGCAAGTTAAGGGCAGCTGGAGCTGGGGGAGCAACCCCAGGGCCCAAAGCAAGTACCACAGAGCCAGCAGCCCTGTCCCAGCAGTCCTGCCCCTCCCTCCCCGCCAGCTGGCGGCCACGTGCCCTTTCCCACTTCATGCAGAAGCGCGGCAGCGAGCCAAGCAGGGGAGGGAGGAATTAAGAGGGTAAGTTAGCGCTCAGAGGGAGGGGCCGGGGAGCGCCCACGTGGTTGGAGTTTCAAATCCACGTCCGGCCCCTCCCATTTCCCAGCTCTCTGTGCACTTGGCTCCCAGAGACTCCGCCCCTCCTGTCGCGTGTATAAAGCCCCGCCCCGTGGTGACGCCCTATAAAGGCGCCGAGTAGTGTTGTGTCGCGCTGCGACTGGGCGTGCGGCGTCTTGCTTTGTGGCTCGTCTCCTTTTCCTTTACGGCCGTCCCGCCCCGCGCTCCTCCCTTTCTCTGCTCGCTAAGATGGCGGCGGCCGGGGTAAGTGTGTCGCTTCTGCGTGTCCCTGCTCTCCCTGGGCAATCCGTCCCCATCCGTTCCTGGCGGGCTGGCCCGGGCCTGGGGGAAGGGCAGGGCTGGGGTGCGGGTGGGCTCGTTTACCTGTGGCTGCTATTGCTGGGGTGCGCCCCTGGGGACTGGGTGGGGAGGGGGCTGACCCGCTGACGGATTCAGGGAGGCGGCCCTAGGGGCCGGGGGGGTTAACGCGAGAGGAGAAGCTGTCGGGGTGTGTGAGAAGGCTCCTGCTGCTATGGGGTAGTTGCTAGGGGGTGCGGGTTTGTGCCTCCCCAACGACTCCCTACTATAGGGGGGTGTTTTTGCCTTGGAGTCCTTTTTTTTTGAGGTATTCGGGGCTGCCCTATAATTTAGGTATTGCTGGGGGGGTATAGTGCTCGCGGGGGAGAGGAGCCTTTCTGAGTGTGCTGGGGTACCTGGTGTTGACCATTGACTTGGATTTTCTTGTCCTTGTGTGCCTCTCTAGTGGAGAACTGGCCAAGGGAGGGTATTGGCTTCTGAGTTTGGTCAGTGGGATGGGAGCAATGGATGGGATTGGCTCAGCATGAGTCTGTAAAGAGAGGCATGGCTCTTTGGGTGCATGGCAAAGCTAGCAGTGAAAATGACAGGCTAGACATGTTGCACGGAGTGCTTGGGTCTGTGGGGGTAGAGGTCTTTGTGCATGTGTGGGGAATGCTGAAGCAAAGGGGGTTGTCTGATCTGGGGTGGTGATAATTTCAGGGGGAGTATTGGGAGGTAGGATAGTGGCTGTGAGAAGGTGCTGTCCCTGAACTGGTGAGGGACCTGGCAGGGTAGATGAAGGGAGCTACTGTCTGGTGGATGGGGGGTGGGGGGTGGGGGAATGGCTGGGAGGTGATGGTAGCTGAAGAGGTAAAGGAGGTGTCTGGTTGGTATGAAGGCTGGTAAAGGTTGGTATGAAGGTATAAAGGAGGTAAAGGTTGGTATGAAGGCTGGTAAAATCAGGGTGCTGTCAGTTGAGTTTAAGGAGGTGACTTGTTCCTGTGTTTCTCATACTTGATTCATTTTCTGTGTCCTACAGACTCTCTACACCTATCCTGAGAACTGGCGGGCATTTAAAGCCCTCATTGCTGCCCAGTACAGCGGGGCTAAGATCAAGGTCCTTTCCACTCCACCCCAGTTCCACTTTGGGCAAACCAACAAGACCCCTGAGTTCCTGAAGAAATTCCCTGTTGGGAAGGTGAGTAACAGTGTTACATGTGCCTCCTTATGCTGAGTAAGAAGCAGGCTTGGGCAGTGGGTATTGCTGGATAGTGCCAGACTTCCAGTAACGAATCATTCATGTCAGAGAAACAGATGTCCCATGGAGTCACTGTCCTCTCCTGTAGTCTCCATGTGAGGGATATATGGTGGCTATGGGGTGAGGGGCGTACCTGGTCTGGTAGCAGGCAGATCAGCTTCAAACAATTTTGAATTGCATTTCGTGGTGTGGAAGATGTTGGTAGCTAGAGTGTGGTAGTCGCTCATGTCACCTTGCCCCTTGGGCAGGACACAAGTGACAGCTGTGCATGAACTTGGGAAGTAAGCTTAGAAGGGGCAAACTCTGAGTGATTCCTCTCCAAGGCATGCTTCCCATGTAGCCTGCCTCTTTGTTGCTAGCCATTCCAGCCTTCAGGTGGGCAAGAATGGCTGTCTAATGAGGCCATGAATGCCTTCTCTCCCCTCCTCCCGACTGTCCATGATGGATGTCAGTTGGAACAAGATGCCCTTGGGGTGACCAGTGTGTCAGATGAGGGAGGGAAGGGTCTGGGAACTGGCTGTGCTCTGATAGCTGGTAGAATTAGCCAGGGTAGCTGGAGTGAGGGGGTGCTGCACAGGCTGGTGAAAGCCTTGGTTGCTCTGTAAGGGGTGACATGGTGTTTGCTTTTTAGGTTCCTGCCTTTGAAGGGGCTGATGGATTCTGTGTGTTTGAGAGTAACGCCATCGCACACTATGGTAATGGCATGGGGGCAGCCCCCTACACCTGGGTGGGGAATGAAGGAATGTGGTGGGGGAGAGCATACCCTGTCCAGCTTGCTCCTAGCAGTAAAGCTAGAGTGTTCTTGCCCCATCCAGCTGCTCCTTCCTGTGCTGCTGGACTAATGGCACTGGCCAGCCCCTTCCTATATCCAGTGCAACTGTAGTTGGATCAGTACTTGTGTATTTGCTTGCCCTGTGGTACCCTTGGGGACTGGGCTTGGCTCTCCCCGCTGCTGGCTCTGCTAGGGCAGATCTGCTTTCTGTCCACTGATGGCAACCACACTGAGTGGGTAATGCTGGTGCTGCAGGGGATAGATGTTGGTCTGTGGTGGTGGGGGTGTAGGTTTGGGGTGGGAAGAGCTGGGCATGTCTTGGCTGGATGGGATTGGTGTCCTTGCCCATGCTGGTAACTAGCTGGCTCTCCTGTTCCAGTGAGTAATGATGAGCTGCGGGGATCCACCAAGGAGACAGCAGCCCAGATCATCCAGTGGGTGAGCTTTGCTGACAGTGACATCGTCCCTCCTGCCAGCACCTGGGTCTTCCCTACGCTGGGCATCATGCACTACAACAAGCAGGTCAGTGGCATGAACAGGTGGCACCTGATTTATTCATCAAGAGAAGAAGTTGGCTCCTTCCCATCCCTGTGTGTGTGTGGAAGAAGGGTAGTGGGAGCCCCTGGTAGCAAGCAGCACTATCAGGAGCAGAACCTACCATCCACTGCGGGAGACTCAAAGGTTTAGAAGTTGTCCATGAGGCAGGATCAGGACTCTAGAGGTATGCGTCACTAGCTATGTGATGGTAGCACTCGGTGACCTGGATCACCCCTAGTGTGGCACAGATACATGAGCCCATAGTCTGTGTCCACCATTCCAGCATCTCGTCAAAGGCCTGGGGGTGAGAGTGGCCAGAAATGTCTAAGGAAAAAGCTGTAGCTGTTCAAGGTCCCTGCTCTCCTCCCATCCACAGTGAAAGGTAGTGTTCCCTGTAAGCTGAGCCCTTGGGCAGTTACCCAGGAGAGAGTCCAATGCTGCCCAGCTGATTAGCAGAGCACCCACAGCCTGTGTTTCTACTAGTGGTACACATCTGCACATAACTTATTTCACCCATGTATGGAAAAATTGGAGGGAATGTTGGTGGAAGGGCCCTCCTTCCTGCTTGCTGGAGGCCCTGAGCCTTTGAGTCCAGGCTGCTGTGGTGCAGTCTGGCTAGTAGGGTGAAGTGAAGCTCCTGGCATGGCCTTAACTCCTACAGATGGGCACGTGCTGAGGAGAGGGTCTTGGGCTACTGCTTCTTGGACTGGTGCCACCTCTGCAGCTGGAAGGGCGAATTTCCTGTTGCTAGTCTGCAGTGTGAGGAGGTGCTAGCTCTGCTGTCATCTTCCCGGAGGGTCAGAAGACTTCCATAGCTATAGGGCTCCTGTTTTCTTCCACATGGTAATCCAGTGAGACTTGCTGCTTTGCCCTGTTCATGCGGGACTGGGATGGGTGAGGGGTAGGAAGGGTCACACTGAGATGATGCACTTCTAACTCCCTTATCTCCCTGCTGGGCTCCTGTTCAGGAAACAGCCCCAGAGCCAGGCTAGCCTGAGGCTCCCTCTTGCTTTGAGGACCATTCTTGTCTTGGTGCCAAGCATAATAAGCTGCTGCATCTCCTGCCAGCTGAAGGCAGGGTGGGGAGAGGTGATACACAAGCTACCAGTGGCAGGGCATCTCAAGCACCTGGGCCTTGGAGTTCAGAGGCCTTCCGTTGGATGGGGAGGAAGGGATTTGTCTCAGAGGAGAGGACTTTCCTGAAGTTAGTGGCTGGACCTAAGTTTAGAACTCAGGTGACCTGGTTCCTTTGCTCTAACCACTAGAGCAGTGGTGGGCAAACTACAACCTGTGGGTCACATCTGGCCTGTCAGGCATCTTAATCTGGCCCTTGAGTTCTTGCTGGGGAGCAGGGTCTTGGGCTTGTCCTGTTTGATGTGGCTCCTAGAAGCAGCAGCATGTTTCCCCATCATCTCCTATGCACATAGGCAGTGCATAGAGCTGCCAGGCTGCATGTCTGCATAGGAGCTGGCAAGAGGTGAGATGCTGCGGCTGCTTCTGGAAGATGTTTGAGGAGGTAAATACAGCCTGGAGTCTGCACCCCTGAGCTCTGTGCTGATCTCCTTCCACTCCCCTGCCACCTTGTGCTGCTTAGTCCCAGCCTGGAGCATCCTCCTGCACCCCAGAGCCCTTGTCCCCAACCTCACCCCAGAGCCTGTACCCCCAGCTGGAAGCCTGTACCCTGAACTCCTAATTTCTGGGCCCACCCAAGAGCCTGCACCCCAGCTAGAGCCCACCCAAGATCCTTTCCTGCACTCCAGCTTCAACTTCATGAGCATTCATGGCCCTCCGTACAATTTCCATATGCTGATGTGGTCCTCAGGCCAAAAAGTGCCCAGTCTTGCACTAGTGTGTGCTTGGTTTCCTGGGAATGCTGGGGAGGGGTGGGTGGTGGTGGCGGCAGCTGTTTCCTGGATGTGGTGGCAGTGTATGGTGGTAAAGTGAGTGCCTGGTGCCCCTGCCACAGTGGGGCTCACCTGATCTCTTGCATCTGCAGGCCACAGAGTATGCCAAGGAGGAGGTGAAGCGGATCCTGGGCATCCTGGACTTTCACCTGAAGACCCGGACCTTCCTGGTGGGAGAGCGCATCACACTGGCTGACATCTCTGTCGTGTGTGCGCTCCTCTGGCTCTACAAGCAGGTGCGAGGGCTTGGCGCTGCTGCCTGGGCTGTAGGCAGTGGCAGGAGGGTCTGCTTCTGGACTGTAGATTGGCTGAGTTCCTGCTGCCTTGGAGCTGTAGCTGGAGTCTCAGCTGGGGCACCAAGGTAGCAGGGCTGGGCAGGAATTCCAATGTGGCTGCAAAGGCTTGGAGTGGTTGCCTGGCCCTTGGGCAGGGTTGAATGCCCAGGAAGCTCCTCTTCTGTGCTCAATGTCCTGAGCTAGGGTGGAGCTGGCTCCACCTGTGCTGATCTCACCCTCTTTCCAGGTGCTGGAGCCATCTTTCCGCCAGCCCTACAGCAATGCCAATCGCTGGTTTGTGACCTGTATCAACCAGCCGCAGTTCAAAGCTGTACTGGGTGAGGTGAAGCTGTGTGAGAAGATGGCTCAGTTTGATGGTAAGCAGCTCCCCAGGCAGAGAACTGGCCCTCTGCCCCCCACTGAGGGGAGTGTTGCTGTTCTAGTGCCCACGGTGTGAGCAGCTCTGGCCCGGTTAGAAACTGGGGCTGCGCTGAGTCTAGAAAAGCTTGGCTGGGGAGAAGAGGTGGGAGGCAGGGACTTGCTGACCCTCTGAAGTGATGTTGCTGGGGTCTGTGCACTCTGAGTTCCTGGCCACCTTCCCCTGTGGGGCCTCCCAGGACTCGCTCTGCCCCAATTTTGTTCTGAGAGATTGCAGCCTTGTGGGATTAACCCCCCAAAATGCCAGCATGTTCTACTGTGGTCTGGATCTCCCTGGGTTAGGGCCTCAATAGCTGTGTTTCTGCCGTGACTGTCTCAGGCCGATCTGCCAGGCTTGCCTATGGGGCATAGGAGAGATCTGACTGCCGAACTGGGCTTCTTTCTCTCTCTCTCTCTGCTGCAGCCAAGAAGTTTGCTGAGAACCAGCCAAAGAAAGATGTGCCCAAGAAGGAGAAGCCAGCCAAGGAGGAGAAGAAGCAGGAGAAGAAAGAGGAGAGGAAGTCTGAGCCTGAGGAGGAGCTGGATGAGTGTGATCAGGCCCTGGCTGCTGAGCCAAAGTCCAAGGACCCCTTTGCTCACCTGCCCAAGAGGTGCTCCCCTGTTCTCTAGGCTGGACCAGCCCTGGCTGGTGGGGCACTTGCAGGGAGAGGGGGTGATGGGGCCAGATCTGGCAGCTGCATGCAGAACCTCTTTCTCCCCCCCTCACCCCCTTTCAGCTGCCCTGCAATAATCAGGCTCCTCTCTAGTGCTGGTGGGCTGGGCCCTGGGAGGGGCCAGTTCCCATGCTCTGCTCTCCTTCTCTTCTGGCCTCTTCTGGGCAAACTGCCACCAGCTCTTGTTTTTGCCAGACAGTGGGGACCCAGCCAGCCCCCTCCTGCTGCTTTGGAGGGCCTCTGGATGAGAGAGGGCAGAGTGGTCTTTCCAGAACAAACAGGAGTTGGCTTTGGTGGGAGCCCAGCCCCTCCCTGCCTTGTGGAGGAGGGAAGCAAGCTGCTGGGAGTCAGATTTCAGGTTGGGCATCTTTGCTCATGGCTCCTCTGCTGCCACCTCTGGCCACTAGGGGGCAGTGGCTACAAGCTGGCAGGCAGAGCCTTAGCACTGCTGAGCTGGAGTCACTCTAATCCCACGCCCTGCTGCATGCCTGGGATAGCTTCATGCGCTGCACTGCACTGTCTGGGCCAGTAGTTCCCAAACTCTTTGGCATCACGCCCCCTTTTTCATTTTTGAGAAACCCTCGTGCCCCTCCCAAAAACCTGTGGGGTGGGGAGAGGAACTGACCGGGGCCAAAACAGTCATGGCCCCTTTAATTCCCAGGACCTGGGGGGGAAGGTGCCAGTACTCCAGGCGCATGGTCTGGTGGACACCCAACCAGGAAAAACCAAAAATACTGGACATCTTGCATGGTATTTTCTATGGTTTTTTTTTTTGTTTTTTTTTTTTTGTTACTGACCAAACCGGGCTCTTTCGGGGGGCCTCATGCCCCCCTGGAATTTCTTCACACCTCCCAGTTTGGGAACCTATGGTCTGAGCCCAGGATCCTTGCTGGCACGTGGTGCACATGGCTCCTAACGCCCATGCCGCTGGTCTAGTCCAGGCCCACCGGGCAGGCTGGAGCAGATGCTCTTGGCCCCCCTCAAAGCCTTCCCTTGCTCTTAGCTATGGGTTCTCAGTCACTGACCTGGAAGATGAGCTGTGCATGGTTCTGCCTCCAGCTCTAAACTCCTGAGCAGGAAGAGGGGCTAGGTGGGACAAACGCAGGTTGTCTGGAAGGCAGCTGCCTTGCCTGTCTCTGATGGAACCATTCTGCCCCAGCCCCTTCATCATGGACGAGTTCAAGCGGAAGTACTCCAATGAGGACACGCTAACGGTGGCACTACCCTACTTCTGGGAGCACTTTGACAAGGACGGCTGGTCTATCTGGTACGCACAGTACCGCTTCCCCGAAGAGCTGAGCCAGACCTTCATGAGCTGCAACCTCATCACAGGTCAGAGCCCAGCCCCTGGTCTGAGGGGGTCTCCTAGGGCTGGGGCACGGCAGTGACGGCTCTCCTGTCTCTTCTTTCTAGGCATGTTCCAGCGCCTGGACAAGCTGCGGAAGAACGCTTTTGCCAGCGTCATCCTCTTTGGCACCAACAACGATAGCATCATCTCTGGTGTCTGGGTCTTCCGTGGCCAGGAGCTGGCCTTCCCGGTGAGGCTCTGCCTGTCCTGCATGTGCTGCAAGTCTGGCCATCCCCACTAGGAGCGGGTACCCCCTCACTCTGCACTGCCACCCTACAGGGTGAGGCACTAGGCAGCTGTGTGTCTGCACCGTGCTGGCTTCCTGGCCTAGGAACTGGTAAATGTTCCTGGTGCAGATGCAGCTTGGGGCAGTCAGTGTCCTGGCATGGGGTCAACCTGCTCCCATGGGTGTCTCTCGCCATACCCAGTGGGAATGGCTCCTTGGCTGCCCCCTGCTGATCCCTTTCCTCTGTTCCTAGCTGAGCCCTGACTGGCAGGTGGATTACGAGTCCTATACCTGGAGGAAGCTGGATGCAGACAGTGAGGAGTGCAAGACGCTGGTCAAGGAATATTTCATGTGGGAGGGTGAATTCAAACACGTCGGCAAAGCTTTCAACCAGGGCAAGATCTTCAAGTGAGGGCAGTGCCTTCCCGCCAGCTGGGACTGCACAGACTGGCCAGTGAGGGACAGCAGCCTCTGGACAGCAGCCAGTAGGAGCATGGGCTGCTGGAACTGTTCACCAGGGGTCAAACATCAGGAGCCTGGATCAGTGATGTGAAAAATAAAGCCCCCAGATGCTGGTATCCTGAGATCTGTTGTTCCTGGACTGGGGCTTGTGGGACTGGATGGGAGCTTGCTGATGCTTTCTCAGCACTCGGGGGCTGGCTGTGGGTTGCCACAACGCTGTGGGTACCTCTGTGGGTATGTCTACATTGCATTCCTCTTCCGAGAGAGGAATGCAAATGCAGACAAGTGAAATTGCAAATGAAGCTTGGATTTGAATTTCCCACACTTCATTTACATAATCATGTCCCCCTGCTATTTCGAAATAAGGCTGTGTAGATGTGGGCTGCTATTTCAAAATAAAAAGGCTGTGTAGATGTGGTTATTTTGAAAGAAACCCCTTCTTTCAAAATAAGCTTACTCAAAAAATGAAGCTTACCTGTTCTAAAAGGTTTCAAACTAACTGCGTCTACAAAGTGTTCATATTTCAAAGTAGCGGCTGGATGCAATTATGCAAACAAAGCACAGGAAATTCAAATCATGCTTCATTTGCACTTTCACTTGTCTGCATTTTCATTCTTCTCTCAGAGGAATGCAATGTAGACATACCTTTAATGTCCTGGGAAGGGCAAAAAATCTGGACTGTCCCTAGCAAGGGACCAGCTGCAGTGGGCTGGATGAGGGTCCTGCCTGGGGCATGGGGTGGGTGCCTCTGACAGGGAAGCCAGTGTTTGGCTGAGTGTCCTTGCTTCTGTTGAGGCGTTGTGCCACATCACCTAACCTGGCAAACAGGGGAGCTGGGCAGAGCAGTTTTGGCCTCAAGGTCTGTACAGGCTGCTTCTGCCCCAGCAGAGCTCTGTTCCCCAGGGGCTGGCCATGGGCTCCTTCAGCACGGGGCCATGTGCATCTCTTCCAGGGTTGAGATGGGCTCTGACTTTAATGGTGCCCAGAGTGAGCTGCTGTAGTGAGCCTCTCCCATGCCTGGAAAAGGTAAACAGGTGAGAGCCGTCAGCACAGCATGAAGGGAGTGCAGGGAGGTGGCCCTGGCTGGGAGAATCATCCCTCTAATTAGTTTGGAGAGGCTGAGTTGCCAGGCCCCAAATCAATATTTAAGCTGGGTGGTAGGGTGTGGTCACTTCAAGTCTGGGCTCTGGCCCTGCCCTCATACCTAAGCTATACTGCTGATAAGCTTATCAGTGTCAGTGGGCAGGGCTTTGCCCTGCAGCCAGGTGGGTTCTGGCTGGGTGTACCGCAGGCAACTGGGCCCAGCCATTCCTATGCAGAGCTTGTTGGGTTCTCCCCTCCACCCCTAGCAAATAACTTGCTAGACTGTCTCCTTCTCCCTGTCTGAGTGGGCTGCCTTCGGCCTGTGCCCAGTTCTCAGCTGCTCACCACACACCTTCCCACCCTAGCATTATGCAATCCTGGCTCCACTAGTGCTCCGCCCCAGCACTACAAGATGGGGAGCAAACAGGCTTGCAGGGCTCCTTGGGGTGCTTGACGTGTCCTGGTTTGGTCTGTGGCAACAGCCGAGCCCTGGGTGTCTTCCCCCTCACTGCTCTCTACAAGGACCCTTCCTCGGCCAGGATGGCAGAGGCTGCCAGCTGGTTTCTACAGCCTTTCCCAGGGCTTTGCCCTAACCTGCCCTGTTCCTGGTCGCTAGGCAGCTCCTATCCCTGCGCGGGGAATCCTGAGCAGTTGAGTCCCCTATGAAAGGGCTCTTCCCAGGGAGCAGCCTGGAGTGCAGGGTTGGCTGTTGACTCATGCCCAGGTGCTTGGCTGGCTGCAGAGAAGTGGCTTATTTCCCCACCCTTGGTGTAGCAAGCTTGTGCCTGACTGGGGATCCCTGAGCTGGGGATGGGGAGAGGCAAGGCAGAGACCAGGCCTGCAGCACACAGAAGGGTGTAACTCAGTGCATTCTGAGATTTGAACTAGGACCAGGGCTGCTCATGCCATCACTGGCTGAATCTGAGAGATGGTGAATGGTATCAGCGGGGCAGGGGGAGTCTGCTGCTTCACCATCTGTCCCATACAACTGAGGATGAGGTCTCAGCATGCTCCTGCCACACTGGTATGTGGGCAGGAGCTCCCTGTTGCTGAGGTCTGGTCTTAGTGTAGAGGCACCTACTGCAGCTACAAGCTAGGCTGCCTCTCCTCCCCACGACTCTGGCTTGGCAGCTCTGGCACTGCACTGCTCGCTGGTCGGGGCTGGCTGGCTGTTTTCAGGGACTAGCTGCCTCTCCCGCTCTTTCTGTCCTGCAGTTGTAGGAGGCAGCGCTGGGTTAATCGGATCCATCTGGTTCTTTGGGGGCCCTCAGGAAGCATGAGTCACTCTAGCATCCTGCTGCCCGGCTGCCGCGTTCCGTGCGGGTGTGGTTTGGCCACGCGAGGCTGTAGCTCTCTTGCCGCCTGACAGCAGGACGGGGGGCTGGGCAGCAAGCTACTGGTGCCAGCAGGGCTAGAAGCAGGAGCAACACTGACCTGTTTTGTGGTAGTGTTGAGCTGGATGCTGTGGGGGTGTGATCCGGCTGCTAGTGTAGTCTCCCTGTTGGCTACTGTAGAAGTAGTCTCTACCGCTTGGGGGTGAGACTGGGCAGTGGGCGTAGGCCCTAGCATGGAAGGGGAGCCAATGCTAAGGCTGTATGTGAAGGGGTGGGGTTTCTGGCTCCTGGCCAAACCCCTGGGCTCATGGTACGTTCAGTGGCTTGAGGCCTGTGAAGTGGGCAGTGTGCACCCTGCTGGTGTCGTTAGAATACCAGACTTCTGTCCCTTTCTAGGGAACTAACCCTGCCCTCTGGCAAATTGCTCAGGTCCGGCTGCGTCCTCTCCTCTTCCTGCCCCTGCCAGGCAAGAAAGGGCCCTGCCCCGTTCTCCTCCTCAGTTCAAGAGTGTGGGAAGGGGAGAACAGAGACCTTCATACCAGGGAGCTATTGGACATGTAGAAGTTCAGGGCCCTAAGCGTGGCTGCCTGCAGTAGCAGCCTGCCAGTTCCTGTCTGAGGAGGGGCAGCAGGTTAGGGTAGAGGCTGGTGCTCCACCCCTCTGCTCTGCAACTGCTGCATAATCTGTGGTATTGCTGGCTGGGCCCTTTGGCCAGTGCTGTCACCACTCTGCCTCTCCCTGCCAAATGATTTGGGAGGGGAGCAGGATCTAGTGGGTTATAGTGGTGTGGGGGCTGGGAGTCAGGATTGCTGGGATCTGTTCCCCTTTCTTGGCCTCAGTTTTCCCCATCTGCAAAAGGAGTCCATAGAGCCTCTTCTGTAAAGCAGCAGTGAGTGTAGCAAGGGGATGCCAAGTGCTCTTGTACTGGAGCCAGAGACAAACAGTTCTAGAAGGTTTGGCAAAACTGGGGGGAGGGAGAGGAATCTGAGCACTAAGCAAGAGGGATTTTTACTAGTCTTTTGTGCTTGGGTAATAAAAAACAAAGTGTGTGTGTGTGGGGGGGGGGGAGCCCTGGAGAGTTTCCCAATGTTTTGTTTAAAGGTATGTTTCTAAAAAAACTCTGAAAAGTGCCTCCTGTGTGAGGGTGGCAATACTTGTCTGCTAATTAAGCACCATGCACATAGCAGGAGCGTGTGCAGGGTGCCTACCTACCCAGACTGCCCCCATCACTGGTGCATGGAGGGGTCTCCCCTTCCTCCCTTCTGGGCAGGAGCTGAGTGGGGACCCCTCAATGATGTGCGGCTCGGGCCCTCGGGCTTTGCTTGCTGTGCTGGGGATCGGAGGTCAGTAAAGGCTGAAGGGTATAAATACAGACACCTGTCGGGAATGATATAGACCATGCTTGGTCCTGCCATGAGGGCAGGGGACTGGACTTGATCTCTTGAGGTCCCTTCCAGTTGTAGGATTCTATACCCCAGAGCCACTTGCAGCAAACAGGAACGGTTTCCTCACAAGCCCCACTAGTTGGCTGTTGACTTGTGGTTGGAGCGTCTACATGGGTTTATGCCCCCCCCCAGAACCAGCCTTTGGTCAGTGTCTTTCCCCTATTTCCTGCAACCATCTCCTGGGCTGGGGCAGAGTCTGCCCTAGGGCTTACACTGATGCAGCTACACTAGCAGGGAAACACCTGTCCTGTGCTATGTATTGCACAGCTGTTGCAAGTAGCCCCACAGCTACACCCCCAAGTTCTACAGGGTGTTTTTAGCTCTCCCCAGGCCCTAATGCTGGCATACAGTGGCTTACAGGTGGCATTTTGTATAACAGTCTTTGTGCCAGAGGGCAGGAGCAGGGATGTGAGGAATAACAAGGCTCATGCTTAGCCCTGTGATGCTGCAGCCCTGGCTGCTCAGTTTGTTAAACTTCGCTGCATATCCTGTAGCAAACTAGATGCTCTTTACTAGAGGGTGGGGTGAAGGAAGGGTTAATGCCCTAGACTGCCCCTTAGGAGTGTCTCCCCTGATTTTCTCCCCCCGCCCCGTCACGGGGCACATTTCCTCCCAAACAAACTTCAGTGCCTCAAGATGGCTGCCAGATGTGGGGGAGCAGCCGCAGCCAAGCCTGGCGCTGCTCCAATTTGCCTGTTCCCACATCTGGCTTGAGTTTTGTTCTTGCTAAATCAGCCCCACCCAAGCTCTCTGGGGCGGCTCTGTGCACTGACTCATGCCTCCCCTCTGCTTGTAGTTAGCTTCCAGCCCTTGAGAGGAAGCAAGCTGCAGCCGGGCAGCCCCAGCCCACTTCCATTTTAGCTTCTTACAGCTGCTCAAACAGGAAAGTGCCATCACTGCACTGCAGCGTAGGGCTGCTCTGTCAGGAGCCCTCAGCTCGGAGACATGGGTCAGGGGCCACCCCCTGCGTCCTTTAGGAGAAGGTCACAGCAGCATGCAGAGGCCCCATGGGTCCGGGTCCGGGTCTGGCCCAGAGCTCCCTCTGACCCAGTGCTCTGTGACTGGGGGTGACTGAAGCCTGGCCCATGTTTTTAAATTTCAAGAATAGTCTGAGTAAAGAAAAAGCCTTTCCCATTCCTTGCTCCTGCCACTCCCCTAAAGTCTACTGTCCCATCCCCCTTTACCCAGTATATGGGGGGACACTGTGCTTGACTGGGAAGAGCTTTGACGGACACAACTAATGTAGTGAGGGAA